GTCGCATTCGGAGGCTCGGCTGCTTTGGAACCCGTGCGGCCGCCGGTCGGCATTAAATATATTTTCCGACGATGTCGTTTCTAATAACTTCTTTCTCTCCGTTCTTGCACCTAATTTATTTTTCAAAGAAATCATGGTCTTACATCTTGAGTCTGTGAACAGACGTCAGACTTCCCTCAAAGGGGCATGGCTAAAATATGAATATGAATATGAAGGTTGAAATATGCCTGTCAGTGTCACCAACGACCAAGGGGGGGGGGGGTCTAACCCCCTAAACCCCCCTCCCCCTTCCGAAAGCGAGAAGCACGAGGGGCACGATGAGGAGCACGATGCACTCACTTGTTTCCTCGACCTCTGGACGTCTTCCTTGCAGGTACTTCCTCTCGGGGTCCGATTGGGACTCGTGATTCCCAGGGAGTCCGACGTCCTCCTGATGCGCTGCAGGGATTTCCTGAGGGAGGAGGAGAGAGGGAAAGGGTAATCACTCCATTCCGGCCTCGAATTGGTGGAATATCCTGGGGCGATGTGCGGGGGGGAGTGGTTGGGGCCGAGGGTGTCTAATGATGGGGATGGGATTATCCGCCCCCTCTAATCTTGCCCTTTGATCCAAGGTGTGCGTGGGAGTGTCAAGCGGAGATTTTTGCTCATTCCGCTAATGGCGGATCGCAGGGGGAGATCGGCCTGGAGTGGGAGTGGCATCTCCGCCCGGAGGATTCGTCGGAGATAAATGTATCATATTTAATATATATGGATACGTACATATATAGATATATATAGATATATACCTGAAAGGCTTTCCAACGAAGAGGTGCGACCCCGTGGGTCTCCGTGCCATCGATCGATTAATGGACGGAGTGGATGAGGCGGAGAGATCCAGCGTCTCCGTCGACGGGAGATCCATCTCAGCCGGGCTCGCTCTGGGGATCACAGCGGGATGGTCATGGGATGCCAGGAATGCTCCAATTTGGCAATTTAGAAACTGAAATTTTCAAACTCGAAAATCGGCCCAAATAATGAGATTTTTTTTTTTACTCGTTGGTTCGCTTTTCTTCGAGTTTCGTTCAAGTTTGAGGCTGTAACCATGGTTACAGCCTCAACATCCGCAGCAACATTTCGTAAAATTGCCGACAATTGTTAAGAAGGAAAACAAGACGGAAAGGAAAATTACGGCAAGGGGGATCGAAGGGCGTGGGCTGTTACTCAGGACATTAGCTGATATAGAAGGGGCAAATGGGACAATTGGGGCAAAGGGGCAATTGGGGAGGGGGGGGGGGAATAATTTAATTTGAGTATTTGTTAACTTCCTGAATTTAAAATAAAGACAGCCTGCCGGAACGAAACTGGGAAGCAGAGTGAGAAAATCTGGAATTTCTCCTGTTGCGTGGGCGAAGAGGCGACTCCGAAACTCATTTAAGTCTGGAATTCTCTAAATAAATACCCCTAAACAAAAAAAGGGAGAAAAAGAAAATCAGCAGAAAAATAAACTTTCCCAGAAAACTCTCTGGCTCCTCCACCAGTTTCCCGCTCGATAATTGCCATCGAGCCGGCAATCGAGCCGGCAATTGAGTCGCATGGTTCCCGGGCGGAACAGGTGTGAGAGGGTTTCCGTGTAAGGGAATATATTAGCGGGATTCAGCGATTTGCATGAGGGAACCGGCCGCAATTCTTGGATCGGTCCGACTCGGATCCAAAGACAGGATCGAATGATCCAGGATTAAATTTCCAATTTTATAAATCCTGGATCGATCCAGTGCGTCGCGTCTGGTCCCAGGCGATACGCGAATGAATTCCCCAAATTCCATTTCTGATTATTTTTTTTGGCAATCCCCATTTTTTTAAATAGACAATTTTTTAAATCTGGTATGGGCGCCGCAGGAAATGGGACTTGATGGAATTTCTGAGCGGCATCGTATTCGATGCCGTGGAGGCGATGCCTGTCGCATATTAAAGTCGTGCAGGACAGCAGAAACTGCTCGGTATGAAGCTGAAATATCACGCGAGAATTTCCCGATTCTTTCCGCGATGAGAAAAGAAAAAAAAGGGGGGGGGGGAACTGCAACAGGGCTAGGATTTAATTTAGAGGATTTAATTCTAAATAATACTTCTAAATAATAAAAAGAAATAAATGCTTGATTTGCTGGCAATAGAGGACCCTCGCTTATGCTTGAACATGGGAACAGTTGAATGCACCAATATGAAAAAGGAAGGACCGAAAGTGTTTTTTTTTTTAAGTTAGTTTTACAATTTATTTGAGGAGCACATTTTACGCCTTATGGATGACAGTGGAAAATTGTCATCTCATACGGTTGAGGAGGAAAGTTTCAAAAAGTATAATCGAACGAGACGAAGCGACGACCGGGACCGACCGTCGGCTGTTGGTCAGGGTCTGGATGCTCTTGGTGCTCTTCCAGAGGTCCCGGATGACGAAGGCGTAGCAGACGACCATGACGAGGGCGGGGAGGGCGAAGAGGGTCAGCAGCTGGTAGATGGCGTAGGCGAGCATGTTCATGTCGTCGCGGTCGAAGCAGTAGTGGACAGTCACGGTCGTCTCGTTGTTGCTGAAGGTCAGGGGTGTCGTCGTCTGCAACGGCAGGGTTCATTTTTCATTGTTTTTGCATCCATTAGTTTAATTGTATGTATTATATTATATATATATAATTTAATTATATTTAATTGAGTGGGCAACGAAAAACTAAAAATGTTTGAGATAATTAAGTGATGGATTTTTCCTGTTTCCGATATGCCATTTGAGAAGCAAAAGAGCTGGAAAATTGCCCCGCCGAGACTCCTGAAACTCACTTTGCCTAATCGGGTTGCTTACCGAGTAATCGAATCGGGAGGGAGAACGGCCACTTTCCGTAAAAGGAGCGAGGATAAATTTTTGAACGAATGTCAATACCGACGCAAATATTCATGCATTGGTCGCGGAGGCACTTGGAAGAACATGGAATTGAAACGGGAAAAAAAATATATAAAAATGTCTTGACGTCATTTCTTACGTCATCGCATAAAATATGCAAATTTCCCCCCAAGAAATTGTCCATCAACTTAAGACTTATTCCGTTTGAAACGTTTTTTTTTATGGGGAAGACACAGAGATACAGTTATAGCGGTTATGATTGTGATTGCTCCAATAATTTTTTTTTCTAGGTACGTCTCTTCTTTGACGTCATAATTTGTCTAGATTGAATGAGGGGAAATCACGGTAACATCGTTCTTTTCAGCAAGCTTGGAATACGGCACCCTCCTTACCCAAAGGGAAAGCTTAGCTGCTTGGAGTTAAAAAAAAAGGTGGGAAAATGGATCAGGTAAATCCGCATCACATGATGACTCTTTATATGATATAAGCCTCCTTCCCTGAGCCAGCTTCCCCTCCTTCCCCTCCTTCCCCTCCTTCCCCTCCCTCCCCTCCCTCCCCTCCCTCCCCTCCTTCCCCTCCTTCCCCTCCTTCCCCTTTTTCCCTTAGGACAAGCCAGGAAGTTTTCTTCTCTGGGATTTATTTGTGACATAACTTCGCTCTTTCCTAATGCTTGACATTAGTTCGAGATTTAATCTGCGTTACATATCTCTTCCTCTTTTTGCATTGCCTTATTCTCTCTCACTTCCTTTTCATTTCCCGCGGACCAAACTCTTTTGCGAATCGATGGAGTGCTTGGGAGAGGGAAAATCCTTCGTCAAATGATTCGGGATCGTGCGACGGATTTCTTACGTTCTGAGAATCTTCAGTCGTTTGATGGACTCACTGGTTTTGCACTAAAAGCATTTTTTTGTGGTCACATTGGGCTGGCTGTTTTCGGGGGAAAGGTGTAGCTTGCAGTCTTGAGAGGAATTTATTTCACAGGTATTGATGGAGAATGATCATCGAGAGGTGAAGGCATGTCGTAGGGTTGTCATCGGGAGGGAAAGACAAGCCGCCCGTTTGAGAACTCGTGAAAACCAATTCATTTTGAGCTTCCGTAGGAACTCGCGAGTGTGAAATGTGAAGTGAATTTTTGTGAAATGTGAAGTGTGAAGTGAATGATTGTGAAAGGAGCAGACAAGGCGCGGGCCCCGCGTTCCTCTTAAACGCTTGGGATTCTTCTCTCGTCCTTGGCTTCTACGCGGTGATCAGTACTGACACGTGTTAAAAATAGGTTTTCTGGCTCTCGGTTCGGTTATTGGAAGTGTCAGGATTTCGCACGAGATTTTAAATCCGTTCTTGCGAAGGCAACGACGCAATATCAAGGACCAAAGGTTCATGGCTTCAATCATTCTCAAGCTGAATAGTACGCAGGGAATTTTTTTGCGAAATTGATAGAAATTGGCAAGAAAATTTCCTGCGATTTGCGCCATGGCACTAGTCACAGAAATCCTTGTCAGAGAAATTGAAAAAGTCACGCCTTTCGAAATGAAATTAGGCTCTGAACGCCTGAGATAGCATTAAACCTCCTCAACACAGCTCTAAGCCAGATCTTCTGAACGATTTGGTTTGCATTGATCCCGCATGAAAAGGGGGGCTTACTGAAAAAATGAGAAAGCGACAGCTAGGAGAGAGATCAAAGGGAAATTGAAGAGGAGAAAGGAGTTTTAAGGGACTCCAACGGATTAAATCAGCTCGGGGTTAAAATTCATACTTCAGCGTGAAGCTCAAAGGCCTCGCTGGTGTTTTGGGGTTTCACGTTGAGTATATGAGAATTCAGTTGAATTTAGATGCCTGAGTTTAGATGCCTGAATCTAGATGCCTGGATTTAGATGCCTGAATCTAAATGCCTGGATTTAGATGCCTGAATCTAAATGCCTGGATTTAGATGCCTGAATCTAAATGCCTGGATTTAGATGCCTGAATCTAAATGCCTGGATTTAGATGCTTCGATCTAGATGACCGTCTCGACTCGTCCATTTAGAAGATTCATCGATTCGGCTGCGGGTTGCGTTTCCGCGCCGTTTCATCGATGAATCTCTCAGAAAATCAATGGCCTCTTTTGAATCGGCAGTGGCCATCGTCGAGACGATCTTTTAGAGGCGATCCTGTAGAGTCGATCTGATCGAGGCGATCCTGGTCGGTACCGGAATTTCTCCTGGGAAAGAAACAGGTGCCGGAGATGCCAGCAAAAAAAAAAAAAGTTATTCTTCCCTTTTTTTTTTAAGTCCGTTTAATCGATGCCACTTGATTGTTCAAAATCCCGAAGAGGATTTACGGAGACGAGAAAGTACTGTAAAAGTACTGTGAAGTACTTCGGAGCGGAAAGACGGGATTTTCGGGGCTCGTATTCCGACATCTGCTCGGTTGATAAACTCCGGGGGGAAATTGATCAGAAGTCAGCGAAATGTGCAGTAACTTTCCCCATTCGTGCATGCAACAGCGAATTCCTTCAAAACGGAATGACTTTTTTGCAAAAAATTTTTAATCTCCGGCTTTTGCGATTTCTCCCACGCAATTTCTTATCGCAGAGCTCCGAATGCAAATAAACTCCAAAAGCTGTTGACGACTTTCCGAGTTGGAAAATGAGGGAATGACGTCAGCAGAACTTTTTGCAGTGGCAAAAGGACCAGTGTGAAGTTGATGCGAGAGTCTACTGACGTCATTTCCTCATGATCGACTCTTCCAGTGCAACCTTTGAAATGCGTATTTTAAAATGCACCTGCGAAGGCCATGGCCTGTTTGAGTGGTGCACCACTGAAATAGGCCGTTTGCACGGAAGAATTCTCTGAGCGCTGCAATTTCAGAACTCTGTTCGATGCCAGAATTGTAAGGAATCCCATTTTCAACGCTGACTTTCTCCTTGCAAAGGGAAGAAATTATTCGGCATGAACTTCCTTGCCCTCTCTCATTCACGAAAACTTAGTAAACTTGGGAAAACCTCACGATTTTGATGCATCGACTATAGTAAAAAAAAAAATTAATATGCGAAGCAGACGACGAGGCCGCGGTTCAGCGCTTTCCTCGGGAGATCTTTCTGTCCTGCTCGCGCATGCGCAGCTGCAGTGTGCCTCTCCCGAGCGATGACGCAAGGACGGCCGTGGCCTGGATCCCGCTGAGGAATAGTGGCCGCTCCTGGCAAATTGGCATGAACAAGTCCGGAATTGCGTTCCAAATTTGGTAACATTGTACAGGACTGTACAATGTTGCAAATTTTGCAATTTGCTCACTGTAGTTTGAGGATAAAGTGACGCTTCTCGGAAGACAGGAAAAGGGGCCTTAAAAAAAGAAACTCATTGATTTTCCTTGCCTAATGCATGGGCCGAGAGGGAAATGGGGTGTTATTTCTGTCTCGAGGGAAATACCGAGCATGTTTCTATATTTTCCCTTCCGTATCGAATTCGTTGAGACCTTAGGCGGAAAGCCAAACGCATGAATAAATAATCAGGTTTCTCTTTCTATCAATATCTGCCGTCGACGGCCAAAAGTGGGAAAAAAGGAACGTAATAATTTAGAACTTAATTTTTTAAAATATATACTTGGAGGTTCTCGCCCGGGACAAAAAAAGATCGAAGCGGGAAATATTTTTCTACTTCCATTAAGTTTCCAGTTTGCATAAATTTCAGATTCCAAGCAGATTTTGTGTATTGCTTAATTATTCACTCGTGAAAATATTTGAAAGAGACGAATCAATAAGACTTTCTTCAACCCTTTCTGGTTACATAACTCCCCCTTCTCGTATTCCTGAGAGCATCGAAACTGGGGTTCTTCTTTTTTTACGTTCTGAGTCGCTACAGGATATTTAAAGCTCCATCTCCTCAGGATTGTGGAGAAAACAGAATCTCGTTTTTCGAATAGCGAATTACATTCTGTTATTTATTAATTTATTTATGTATACTGTCCCTCACTTGTGAGACTTTTGGAGGAGATAGCCCAGCTAAAATAAAGATATGGACTCGTGGAGCGTGAAAAGTGCTCTTCACATTCTTGGCGATGCAACATTTCCTCTTGAAAGATGAAATAAGCTGTTGTTTATTTACGCTTATGGTACGGGCTCCAGTCCCGTCTCCAGTGTTGCCGGATATCGCCTTGGAGTTATGTCAGATTCGTGACTGCTTCTGCTTTCCCATCCGTGCCCGGGTCTTCTATTCCATTTAAATGTATATTTAAGGTTATGAAACATTTTTGTGCCGGTTTCATCGGATGGGATGAGATCGGATTTCAACGGAACAGTGCTTATCGGTGGCCGATCGATTAGGACAACCCTGCCGATGACGGCGCCCAACGTGCATTTGAATTTCGAGGGCAGACTGTAAACAGATGATGAAAGAAACGCCTGATTGGCCTTATTTGCCCCGTAATTCTTGGGTTCTTTTCTTCCTAAAGGCCCAGGCATGACCTGAATACGGTTCAAAGCCTTTGAAAAATGGCTTTCACTTCATATATCTTGTCATAATTATTTAAATATCATATGTAAAATACCAAATCCTCCAAATGTATTCGCATTCAAATGAAACGTTTTAATATACCAAACCAACTTGATTCCGACCCCAAAAAAGAGAGAATTCCTATCCATTGTCATCCAGACAATGAAGACGAATTCCCTTGTCAGCCTCGAAATTGAAGGAAATACTTCATTCGGGATTACCTCCCTTCTCTTCTCCGTCTGACAAAACGTCAGAGTGAAATTTCCTCATGAGCGCCAGAATGATAGACCATCGGACAGGGTCTATCGATCGGTGTTCAATGGTCTATCACCAATCTACAGGAAATAGATATTGGCATTTTTTATTTCGATACAACGGCCAACTTGAACCGATGAACCAACCTATGAAGTGATTTGAATTCCTGATACGGTTTATCCTTTGATTTTTACATTGGCGTTTGTTTGCTGTTCGCCTTTCGCCCATTTTTCCATCGACGAAATTGTCGATATTCGACGACGACATGACGCCAGTTGCCACGATTTTTTCTGCATTCGAAGACATGGAGTCACCACGACAGACGAATCCGTCTTCATCGTGGGAAACCGGATGACTTGCCGAAGATTGATCAGCCGATACTCGTCTCGTTCGATTAACTTCCTCGCTATTCAATTCAGAGGCGAAGAGATGGCTTAGGTGGCTCTATCAGCTCCCATCGCTGATAGCCACCGTGCTCGAGGTGTCTTTGGAACAATAAGGCAGAAACGTTTTTGAACAAACTGTGCACGACGCAATTGAGAGAGTTTACGCTGCGATATATGCTGCCCAGCATACTCGTATCTCTACACGAACAGATAAATGAACACAGGAGTTCGAATGAAGTCGTTCCTTCGCCTTCACGGTCCGGTTTCTCCGCGTTCTTCTTTCCCTTCCTTCCCTGGATTCCTCGAGGGGGGAAGCGGAGCGTAGCGCATGGGCTCAGAATCGAGGATTTTTATGTTACCACTTCGTTTTTTTAATTTTTTTTTTATGTCCTCTTTAATTTTGAATGATAGCCCGAAGTGACGGGAGAAATGAAGGTGAATTCGGGGGATTTCCGCTCGGTGATTCCGTAATTATCCGAATCTCTCGGATTCATTTGTCTCGGGGCGAATCAATATTCTTTTATTATTTAAATTCCCCCCGGAGTGAGTCGCCGGCGAAACTCCGAAGAGAGAAAAAACATATATGCTATTCATGATGTTCCTTTCCATTCATGACGTTCCTTTTCATTCATGATGTCCCTTTTCATTTGAAGGACCAGCTCCCTCGGGTCTGGCTCTTGGACGGAGCACACAATATCACAATTGTAATTTATCCTGGTTATTTCAAATAACTAGCAAAGGATTCGTACCGTGCTTAATATTTCTTGACGCGCGCGAGTCTTTGCGTCAGATTTCAGCGCGCTAAAAAAAAACTATGGAAAAATAACTGTCAGAAAAATACGAAACCCAATCTGTAAAGCTGCCAACCGCCGCAAAATAAAAAATCGCGAGAAAAATTCCTTGCCTTCGTTGGCACAACGTTTTTTTTTTTTCCCTGCAGCTTGAGAAATTGTTGCGAATTCCGGGGCTGGCTCCGTTTCGGGAAAGTGTTTGTTGCGCTTGCGAATGAGTTCCGGTCTCGGTCCATTTCGGTCTCCAAACAGACCTTCGAGCTTGTGAGAAAAAATAGCGAACGGAAGCAAAAAAAAAAAAAGGAAAGAGAGGAACAAGAAAGGAAATAAGAAAAAGCAAGGAACAAGAATATAAAAAAGAAAGAGCGTTGCGAAATGACCCGTATATCGAGGCTCGACCTCGAGGCTCGACCGTGAAAGGGAGATTCATCTTTGCTGCGATGTCATCAGCACCTCCCGCAATGACATCGCAGTGCGACGTCTCGACCAGATTCATCAGGGTCCTTTTGTGTCCTTATATGCCATTGAAGTACCCCAGAGTCCGATGCATCTCGGTGATCGGTCCTTTTCGGTCCATGATTTACGACCTTTAGCCTTCATTCTCCGTGCATAATCCGAACGTATTGAAAAGGGCAAGGAAAAAAATCCAGTCGATGGCAGCCACTCGCCAGAGAGGGGGAGCAACTGTTACCCCCTTCATAATCCGGGGATATATGTCGCCCCCCTCCCCCCCCCCCCCCCACCCCCGTGAAAAATGGGGCAATGAAGCCGGAACGAAAATGATGATGTTCGAGGCCGGACGGGAGATTCATCTTCGGGGACGAGAGCCTCTTCGGCATGAATTTGTATGAGGCCTTCTTAGAGGCCTTTCTTCGAGGCCTTTCTTAGAGGCCTTTCTTCGAGGCCTTTCTTCGAGGCCTTTCTTCGAGGCCTTCTTCGAGGACTCTCGAGAAAATCTCCTCTCAGCTGATGGGATTGTCTAGCAGGATTACCAGGGACTCATTTGCGCTCAGCGCTTCATTTTACCTTGCAGAAACGAGGGGGAATAAAATGAATCCGTTTCTCATTTATTCGTCCTCATTTAACTATTCTCATTTATTCGTCCTCATTTAACTATTCTCATTTATTTGCCCTCATTTTTTCGTCCTATTTTATTCCTTGATCCTCTTCACTCGCGAGGTCGTGAATCTCTGTCGGATCGGGACGAAAAAGTGCTTCATCGACGAAAGGTCGAAGCACCTCGGGAGAATGATGCAGCTGTCTCCTGACATGAGGCCCCTGACATGAGGCGCCTGACATGAGGAAGGAATCTCTCCGGCTTGGCACTGGATCAACTGGAGACAGAAACGCTTTAACTCTCTCAACTCCCTCTCAGGCCATCTTCCGCGGAACGAATTCGGAAATTCTCGGAACGAAATCCATCCTCGATGATTGCCGATTGGACCGCGCGATATCTTCCGATTGGACTGCGCGATATCTTCCCGCGGGATCGCGATCTGTCGATCGCAGCTGGAGGGAGGCGAAGCGATTTTTTTTTTCCTTTTTAAGTCGTGGCTGCCCTTCCCTTTACGCATTTCTTGTTGTTGGCAAAGAAACAAGGGAGTCTTTTACAAATTTCGAGACTATCAGAGACGACCTAAATCAACAGCAACTACGGTCTTCCAATGTGCGAACTTTTTCTCCGTCAGAAGGGGAGAGAGAGGGAGATTCTTCATCCTGGGTTTCGCTGAACGATAAGAAAGAGTCTCCGAGTAAATAAATAAACGCTCCCCACCCCCAGGCAGCGATTTTATGATCTTGACATCGCCGACGATTATATCGATTTGCAAAGCACCAAAGACAATATTGACTTGCGTACACCTGGACGGTATATATCATCACTGCTCCATGTCGCGTTTTTTTTTTTTTTTTACAATATCGAGATATCGTCCAACCCTAATTATCCCTAATTACCTCAGTAATGAGCTATGAGTAATAATTACGAAACGGTGCCGCCAGATCTAAACCTAAGTGCAACCCAACTTTTCATTCTCACCCATTGAGACTGAAAGTTTTTCATTTTAAAATACAATTAACTGATAGTTTGTTTAATTTTTAAAAATTTTAATTTAATTTAATTTTAATTTAATTTAAATTTGAATATAGGAGAAAGGAACAGACCTTCGTGAGGACACTGGGGAGGGTGACGAGGGCGGAGACGATCCAGACGACCACGACCGCCTTCCTGCAGTTGCTCATCGTGCACAGGGATCGGGATCGGATCGGGAAGACGATCACGATGAACCTGGGGGAGACAGATGATCCGCATGGGTTCGGGAGAGCCATCTGGGGGGGTGAGTCGTTTTTCTTACATAAATTAGGGTCATTGATCGCCCTTGGAGAAGGGGAAATGGGAGAAATGAGACAAGTGAGCCGGCGCGGATTTTTTTTTCACTCCTAATGACATTTGTGAAGAATGGAAAGTCGGAATCGTCGGAACGGGGTCGAAGTTCGCGGAAGTTCGCGGAAGCTCGCGGAAGCTCGAGAGAGAAATTATCGACAGGGCTGATTTTCCGGTTGGCTCGAGTTGCTTGAGAGAAGCCGTAACCGGGCAATAACCGGAGGGAAGACCGAGTCGCATGTTGACCCGATTCTCAAGGATTCCTCAGGCCGTTTCTCGCCTATTTATGGGGAGTCGATGCGTTATTGCTGCGTTCGCGACTCTCTCGGTCTTTCGGGATCCCCATAGAAACGGGTCTGGCTTCTTGCTCCCCGTGCCTCAGCTTCACAATGAAAGCCAAACCTCGCAAGTGCCAGATCCCTTTCGTTGCCCTAATTGGGCAGGGACAATGAGGTTGACGCAATGAATTACATAAAAAAAAGGGGTACACACGCAAACAACGTAATGCGGTAAAGGCTCAGCCAGTGCAATCGATGCCGAGGGACTGTATGTTTGCTCAGTGCCGGTTTTCTCTAATGCTTTTCGGAGTTAATCCATCATTTTTGGTACAGTAATTGATCTTCGTGGGATGACCTTGGCCTTTCCTTCTGTGCCAGTTCTGATCCCAAATCAAGCAATTACGAGGTCTCGAAAGGTGGCCATAAAACATTGATGAGAAATCGGCGAAGGACGCTGAAACGCCCGCTGCTTCCATCCGGCCGCGCAGCATCCACCCTTCCACGCGTGTCCCCGCTTTCCCGTCTGGTCTTCCGTCTCCCCTGCTTCGATCCCCGCTTTCCCGTCTGGTCTTCCGTCTCCCCTGCTTCGATCCCCGCTTTCCCGTCTGGTCTTCCGTCTCCCCTGCTTCGATCCCCGCTTTCCCGTCTGGTCTTCCGTCTCCCCTNCTTCCGTCTCCCCTGCTTCGATCCCCGCTTTCCCGTCTGGTCTTCCGTCTCCCCTGCTTCGATCCCCGCTTTCCCGTCTGGTCTTCCGTCTCCCCTGCTTCGATCCCCGCTTTCCCGTCTGGTCTTCCGTCTCTCCTGCTTAGATCCCCGCTTTCCCGTCTGGTCTTCCGTCTCCCCTGCTTCGATCCCGCGACATTAAATTGGCAATTGACGGAAGTCCGTTTTTTGTTTCTCCCATCTACTTCTTTCACATTCGCCCTCATCTGTATGCCAGGACCACGGATTTTCTCAGCGAACCCGCCCTTACCTAAAATCAACGGGTGTGACGTCACATAAGGTGAAGTTAACCAAGTGGAAGTGACAGTCGCTAATGCGGGCGACAGTTGCGTTGCTAGCACCACCCTTGAACTTATGCCAACAGAGAGAGGACAGGATCTACAGGGTGATTCTTTCGTGTTAGTACCCTAAAAAACGTGAATAACTCAGGCAGGGTACTAAAACGAAAGAATCACCCTGTATTATTTTTTCATGCCCGTGCCCCTTTTTTTTTTGCCAAATCGTCGGGCCATCTCTCTCGATGCATCGGGGGAGCCGCGACCGATCGCCAGATGGCGCTTTTTTTTTCCATCCGTGTATTTCCATCCTGCCGTCATTGAAATGCCGCTAGACAATGCCGGTGGATTTCTGCGGATTGGCAGGGGTCAGAGAGGACTTTTCAGAGTTATTTTCTTGAAAGGCCTTCTCAATAGGGGTGATCAAAGACCTTTATCCCTCGTAATCGAGATCGTATAGCCATCCTCGAGTTACAGCCAATTTCGCGGATTTCCTCAATTTGCGAATGAATGAATCGGCATGGCACGTGGCCAGCATGCAGTAAAGATCGCGGAAGGAAACGGGCCATTTCTCTCGTCTGGGCGTTTAATTGCCTTCAATTGCCGGCGTGGAGTTCTCTTCATTGCTTGCGGAACGATGAAGAAAGGGAAAAGGCCACTTTGCATATTTCCAGGGAAACGAAAACGGAATGAATGGAAATTTTGACGGACCCCCGCATGAAAAATGGGCGAAGAATCCGCGATGGTTCCTGAATAAAACATTTCCTGAAAGTGAGTTACTTGCGTTCGTACGATTCAACTTCGTCGCAATCACGTGAGATGATTGCGGCTGGAACTTCGCTGACCTTGCTGCGATCTCGATAAATCTGCACGCAAAAAATAAGCGGTTGAAGCGCTATCAGCCGCTGAAGAAGCATCAGCCGTTCCATCGGTTGCTGAATGTCGTTCGCGCTGATTGTGCTTGGGAGGAATGGCGTTCATTTAGCTGGGAGAAGGCACGAGGAAAGAAGTCGGGGCCAAATTCCCATTCTGGCAATTCACAACATTCGCAAACGAATGGGGACTCCATGTGACGGGAATACCGAGTGCAATTCTTCGAGAATCCAATCCCATGCCCCCGGACCCGACTCGAAAACGGAGACAAATGACAGAACGAAGGACGGAATGATGGACGGAATGATGGACGGAAAGAAGAAGGACGGAACGGCCGACAAAGCATCCGATCAGCCACCATGATAGATGAAGAGACAACTTGATGCATGGGGACTTCCTTCGAATAAATGCGACCCCAGAGGAAAGAGAAGCGGAGAAGCCACCTCGTCTCTCTCTCTTTCTCTCTCTCTCTCTCTTTCTCTCTCTCTCTCTCTCTCTCTCTCTCTTCCCCAGGCGGATCATCGATCGAGGTGGATCGGTTCACCGTCGATCCAGGATCGAGAGTTTAGGACTTTGAGATGTTTAGCCCCCGAAAGCATGAGATCGGTACTAATCTTTTCCGCAGACTTACCGATTATCGAGGATGAAATGGCCAAAACGAGCCGTGTTTTATTATAATTATTTATTTATTTATTTTTTACCCGCTTCACTTTTTTTCGCATTTTTTTCCCTTTCGTCTGAAGAAATTGCACTTTTTTTCGGCATTTGTAGGTTGACTAAGTGCAAATCGCTGAACGCAAATTTGTCAAACTTCCGGTGAATTTTGGCGAGAAGAAAAAAAAAATTGGAGTTGGAGTCTTGCAAATTTCTCTTTCGGATTTTTTTGCGAATCGCTTCGGGCTCCGGACATAATCGAAAAAAGTGCAATTTTTTTCCTGATCGTGCAGAAAATCCTTTGTCTTAAAATCGGTCCAGATTTCTTAATAGCAATTGCCTCAAAAATTAATTTAGTTTAGTCGGAAATTATATTAATTTAATTGACAAAATTTGCATATTCCATTAAACTTCTTGACATTGCAAAAAAAATGTTTGTTTTTTTTTTCGTGCGAGCGAGGAAATATCGCAGTGCTTTATTATCAGGGGAAAAGGAAAGGATTTTCGTGTACCACTTGATGGAGCTGTCTGGTAAATAAAAAAAAAATGATATAATCAATACCTTACCATTACCAGCATGAATTCGCACTTGCCATCTGGGTTTCTCGGTAGAGCCGACTCGATCAACAATTCGCGGAATCGCAATATTGCCATGATTACTCGAGTCGGCGGCGGGATTGATTGCGATTAACTCAATTCCCGTTATTGGGAGTTGAATGGAGTCGAGATGAATTTCCGCCGGGGTAGTTCCGTCTTTCCGGGAATTTAGGGCATGTCTTGCCTGGCGCGAATTGTCGTAATTTTCCCCCCCGGAGAACTGAGAAACTTCGGGGAAACTTCCCTCTCGAGTTATTAGGCGCAGCTTCGCGGAAACCACGATTGCTTAATGGCCAAACGACGAGAAATGTCGCAGCGAGAACGAGAAGTCGTGACCGCAGAGGAGACTGCACTGGCTGGATGCTCGCCTGCGTTGTGCAGCTGGCTGGATGCTCGCCTGCGTTGGGCAGCTGGCTCTCCGGCGGTTTAAAGCCTTATTTGTGCTTAATCCACTTGTACCTGGCTTATCGTATCGTTAGAAGCCAAATAATCTCTGATCATTGGAACCACGAAGTTGGGATCCCCATTGGGATTGGCTGCGAGGCAGGGATGCCTCTATCTTATCTCGCCAGAGTCTATGTCGCAGAGATGGCTCTGATCTCACCATAGGGTCTATGTCGAGAACGGGAGGAGCATGTCCAATCTCGACATCGGAGGGGCTGAGGTTGACTTCAAATGGAGCATGCGCATGGATTCGATAGCCTGTTGAGATATTGTTGAGAATCTGTCTCATTGCAACATTGAGCCAATACAATGTGGCGATCGATGTTCTTCAACATTGACACAACATGATGGAGTCGAAACGTCGAAGCTCTTACAACGTTGCATCAATGTGTCGATCGGGTCGGCATTACTGTTTTTGACTCTCCCCCCCCCCCACCCCCTCCCTCCCCCTCACCCCCCATCCCACCTCCTCCCCTCCTGAATGAGAGGGCATTGAAATTGAAACAATTGTGCTATGATTAGTTTTCACGTTGTTTTACATAACTTGTCTTCCTCCGTGGATGGTTGAGCACAATTGATGGGAATCGGGTGAAGGTCCCCGAAAGATCCCATATTTACCGAAACGTGACGGATCGAGAGTATCTTCAGTCGTTCAGTGAAAAAAATCGCCCTCCCTCGTCTTCACTGAAGCCCCTCAAAGATCGCAGGAGACAGCTGTCGCATCCCACTATTGCGTCGAGTGGAAGCCCAGAAACGTGCTTGTGCCTCACCCTTAAGCATTATCCTCTGGTACTTGAACCCTTTTACCGAGCGCGAGGGACGTGTCGCGCGACCGATTCGGAGTATGCCGCTGGAGATCCTGTCATATCCCTCTTCCCAAGGTTACGGCTGGTCATCCCGTGACATCCCTCTTCCCAAGGTTACGGCTGGTCATCCCGTGACATCCCTCTTCCCAAGGTTACGGCTGGTCATCCCGTGACATCCCTCTTCCCAGGGTTACGGCAGGTCATCCTGTGACCTGCCTTGCGTACAGTGATCGAGTCTTACGCGAGACCATCCCCATGGTGCTGCCATCTATCGAGGGTCATCAAAGTCCAATTCCTCTTGTCAATACTCGATTTTTCCTTCCTCAAAAATATGTAAAGTTTTCCAGCACGGGTCGATTCAGCATCGAAGAGTGAAGAGGCTTTAATCGCATTAGCAGGAGGAATTACGCCTGTCAGCAATTCGTGGAAGGCGTGGGAGGGGAGGGGGGTAATGGTGCGGGGGTGGGAGGGGAGGGGGGTGATGGTGCGGGGGTGGGAGCGAGGCTCAAGGTCGGATGGCTTTTTTTGTGTCTCCACCGCCATGACATTCCGAGGAAGGAATGTGGAGGCACCTGTCAGGCGGGGCGAAGGAAGCGGCGTGCGATGAGATGAGCGCATCTCCAGAAAATTATCTTCATCGCTCATGGGGGAAGAAAAAAAATCCGGTTTATTATAAAACCTGTATAAGATATTAAATGCTTGACTCATGTGGATAACGGAGGGGAATCTTTTACTTTTTTATTTTTTTTTATTATTAACGGATTTTCCTTAACGGATGCCATGAGGAAGAAAGCAGATCACCTTGCGAGGAAATTGGGTCTCCGCTGAATCCCGCAGAAAAAAAAAACTTCGGAGATCCTTGCAGATAACTTATGGCGTCTCCAGATTCCAATTAAACATTCCAATTAAAATCTTATCATTTGGAAACCTCACTTCCCCCGGGAGATTTTTTTAAAAATAATAATCCTATCAGGGATCTAATGAGATTCTCGAGTCGTCTCGATCTCATGAAATTCATGAGGAATTTTCCCTCCGCTTTAATAGCGTTTCAGCGAGATAAGATCTTCAAATCTGCTTACTCGCGCCGGTTTCCTTCCAAGCAAATGCAAATGAGTCTGACGTCATTGATGAGATTCATTTAATTACGTTTCCGCCGTGGTCCATTGAAAAGGGTGAAAGGTCAAGAAAAAAAAGGTCAGTCGAGGAAAACGCTGCGAATAGACTCGAAATTCGATCTTTTGCTGAATCCGCAAAATATCGTTTAATTGAGGAACAAAAATTTAGAGAAATAATGCGACGTAACGAAATTAGCTAATTATTTACTGCGGACATGGAACAAAGTTTTAAGTCAAGTTATGGAGGCGTAAACCATGGTTCGCCAATTTTAACCGAGATGCAAACCAAGTAACCAAGTAAACCAACCCATGTTGTCTCATTTTGTATTCTGAGCCATTTCATGAAAGTGCCAATTGGCATTTTCAATTGGCATGTCGTTAACGTCATGATCAACATCGAGATCTTTATTAAAATAAAGAATGAGTCATCGGAAATTAAAAAACTTGCAGAATACGGATAACTTGCGAGTCAAATTTCGAGTTTTACTCTGAAATTCGCCATTTTGCCGTCTGGGGGAATCGAATTTTACTTTCTTGTCTCTTTGCCAATCACTGGACAAATTTGCGCGATGCCTCAGAGACGTGTAATCAGACCTCGCACACGTGGCACCCCGACATGCGATGGCATATGCAGCGTTCGCATCGACACGTGTCTCTCCACTAACCATTTTTCCAGCGGTGCACGAAGTCCCGGGGATTATCCGATAATCCTCTAAGGCTCCCTCCTCGAAACCGAACCTCTGTTGAATATTTTAGAGTCGGCAATTTTCAGATCTTAATATCCCTGATGCGAATGCAAAATGAGACAAGATGGGTAAATCTTGGTTTGCACCTCGGTTAAAATTGGCGAACCACGGTTTACGCCTCCATAACTTGACTTAAAACTTTGTTCCATGTCCACAGTAAATAATTAGCTAATTTCGTTACGTCGCATTATTTTTATAAATTTTTATTCCTCATTTAAACAAGATTTTTGGATTCAGCAAACCGGACCACGGCGGAGATGTAATTAAATGAATATCATCAATGACACCTGACTCATTTGCATTTACTGTTGAATATTTTAGAGTCGACAATTTTCAGATCGTAATATCCCTGATGTGAATGCATCTGACAGCAGTGGGTTTGCTTTAATTGCGTCCTTATCGTTTTGATTTTTTCCGCGTCTCGAGAGTCCTCGAAAGAGCCTCAATCGGGGGCAATCTCGTTCCTCCCAAGCGCGATTTCCAATTTCGAATGAGTCCTCGTCCTAATGAACCGGCTTTCCTCGTTTTTTTCCGGGGAGAAAGGGGAAGAAAGGACCTTGTGTGCCGATCAAGTTTCTGCAATTGCATTCACGAGATTTCATCCTGCACGGAATTCAGCATGGTGCTTGGCGGAACAAATGGATTTACCTCAGGGTTGATTTATCGCATGCAAGATTATCGCTTCTCCCCATCCCAAACGCGTGAAAAGGATGATTGATTTTTCATATGGGCTGTCTGAGTGATCATTACTTTTGTCAGTTGCAATACATTAAGTTTAAATATATATATAAATTTTTTTTTTTCAGTGGAATAATACCCTGGAGCGAAATAATGTAATTGTTTACCACGGACAAACATTTTCTTATGGGAACTTCACAAAAGTTGCCACCAATCACCATCTTCCTTCAAAGTTTTTTGTACTTTGTTCTAACCCGCTCCGTTTCCAAGAGTTGAAGTGATTGTGTTGCCAGAGGAAGAACATGGAAGAAGGTGTATAGAGTACAACTCCATCTGTTTCCGCTTATGCACCGCATGAGGCTGCAATGCATGTTGACTGAGAATGTGAACTCAGACAAATTGAGTCAATTGTGCGCTAGGATGCGCGAGGTTTATCGAGTCTATATGAGATTGAAACCGCCTTGCGCGGAGCCGAAAGTTTGTCGCCAATGACAGGAAGTGGTGACGGGGTAAGAAAGGCGGGAGAGAGGAGTGGGGTGGATGCAGGCAGGGTAAGGAAAGCGCGGGAGAGGAGTGGGGTGGATGCAGGCAGGGTAAGGAAAGCGCGGGAGAGGAGTGGGGTGGTTGCAGGCAGGGCAAGGAAAACTGAGAGAGAAGTGACGAGAGTGAAGGTGGAGGTGGAAGTGATGCTTAACATCGGATGGAAGAGGCTTTTGTTTCTATACCGCCGTGGCAATCAGAGAAGGGAATGCGTTTGAGCGAAACCACCTGTCAGGCAAAGCGAAGGTACCAGCGTTCAATGAGATGAGCGCATCTGCAGAAAAATTGCTTTGGTTCAGGATTATCCCTAATGAAAAAACAATTAACCGAGTCTAATAAAGCTGCATCAGATTCGTATCCACGAGAAGCTTTTACAGGATTATCACGGAACAGAGATCCTGAGTGCCAGTACTCGTAGCTAATTATGTCGGTGCATCGGCAACCACCGGAATGCCCTGCCGACGTTGCATCACCGTCTCCCCCGCAAAAAAAAATGGGGAGACAGCAGGTGCACATGACTGTCGAACCTCGACGCACCCCCCCTCTCCACGTCTATTCCAGGAAACGGGACAGGTGTTTCTGGCCACTCCTTTTCGGATGATGGTACGATTATATGCCACTACAGTCCTCATCCCTCCGGCAAAAAAAAAAGCTTCAATCAGCATGGCTTTCTCTCCTGCAGCCACCCAAACGACAACGGGCGTCTCTTACGCGCCATCAGCCTCGCGAAAATAAACCGCAGAGGCAACGATCGTGAATCACATCTGACAGACCGTGTTTACTCGCGAAGCGTGCCAAGGAGTGTCTCTTTCCCCCCCCCCCACCCACCTACCTACCTGCCTACCTGCCTACCTGCCTACCCGCCTACCCTCTTCTCCCCCTCCCTCTCCCCCTCACTCACCTCTCCCTGTCCCAGTGCTCAGCTTGCCCCCTATCTTTTCCCCTTGCCTATCCCCTCTGGCTATGGTTTCGAACCCTGTTTCCCCCCCCCCCCCCCCCCCCCCCCCCAGGAGTTTTCGAGTTTGGGAAACAGTCAAAAGTCACTGAGAGCTAAGTCGGGCAGATACGGCGGGTGATCCATTTCAGTGATCCGTTTGGCGGCCAAAAAAAATGAAAGACGGACAGGGCTGTGCGAGCCGGCGCGTTATCGTGATATCGTGATCGTGATTATCCACGAGTTCTTCCGCAGATTCTTTCCTCCTCACAATCTCATGCAACCTCTTCAAAACGTTCTTGTAGAACATCTGGTTGACAGGTTGTCATTCTGGCGCGAATTCTGAGGGGACGATTCTGTTGACATAAAAAAAAAACAAATCAGCATCGTCTTGATTTTCGACTCCGACATTCGGGCTTTTTTTTTCTGTCTCGGTGAATTTGCAGTTCTCCATTCAAGGGACTGATGTTTCGTTTCCGGATCATGTTGATGACACCATCTCCGGTGATGATTCTTTCCAAAATATTTCAAGCTTTGTTCAACTGTCAGCAACCGAGGCACCATTTTCGCTGTCACCTTTCTCATGCTCAAGTCATCCTTCAAAATCCCTCGAACAGTTTCTTTATCTAAATTCAACTCTTCAGCTATCATTCTAATTGTCAACACCAAATCCGTAACTTTTGAGACATTTTCTGGTGTTCCTTTGGTGATAGGCGATCCACAACGCTGGTCGTCAGTGACGTCATCTCTTCCCTCTCTAAACCTTTTATGCCACAAAGAAATTGCGCTCTTGACATGGTATGATCGCCATAAATTTTTCTTAAAATTTCGAGCGTTTCAGTTGAGGATTTCCCCAGTTTAACACAAAATTCGACGTTAGTTCTCTGCTCGAGATTACGCTCCATTTCAAATCCGCCAGCGCACACAAATACGGTCTACCTTAACGGGCCGCAGCTCGCAGCGCACTGGTCAGACCAAACTGAAATTTGCCAAGTTATTGGCTAAGGCTCCCCTCCTCTCTCTATAATATATAAAGCAATAAAACCAGTCTGGAAACATAATAGCCACACTTCGTATTGAAATCCGCCTCGTAGAGTCGGCCGCTTGGGTTTATCCCCGTCGCAACTATTGCCGACACCGCTAATAGGATTTCCTCGGCTCTTATTTTCCTGCCGATCCGGGCTTTTCCACGAACTTGGAAGGCGCGATCTCCTTCCACGAGCCGGATTTCCTATTTAGAACGAACGCCTTCTAATGAGCCGGTATTGCATTCTCTTCCCCAAGAAAAGGGGAAGAGACGGAAGCCAATTAAAGAGTTGCAATTACATTCGCGTGGATAGGTGTTGAAATCCCCTCGTGCTCTGAGTCCAACAAGGTGCTCTCAATTGGGGGATACCAATAAAAGTATTTCCAACAGGCTTGGATTCCCCACGGGCTTGGATTCCCCTCGGGTTTGGATTCCCCACAGCCTTGGATTTCCAACAGGCTTGGATTCCCCACGGGCTTGGATTTCCAACAGACTTGGATTCCTCATTCAACCACTCTGTTAAATCCAAGGCCTTTGACTTTCATAAGGACTGTTCGAGTGATCGTTTCCTTAGTCATTCCTGCTCAATACCCAGCCGACGTTGACTCAGGTTGTCCCATTTTCACGTGCGAGCCATTCCACGGTGATGTCAGCATCGTTGTGAAATTTGAAATATGCGCGGGAATTAATTAGCAAGGGGTCCTTTGGAAGCTACAAAGTCATTGCGATTACTTTGTGGGCTCTTTACATTAAATAATTGGGACTTTGTTGCGCAGGGGAATCCAATGGGGTAAAAAAATCCTGCTCGAAATTTTCATTACCGGACGACACTTCTGTCATGATCATGTCGTCGAGGCGACATCATGTCGCACGTGTGACGGGTTTGTAATTTTTTTTTCTTGTGAAGCTGCTGGGGGTCCGGAGAATTTCCTCGTGGAAAATTCCGCCTAAATCTGGAGAAGCAAATTTGCTTCTTCGCAACTTCTTCGCAACTTCTTCACAGCTTTTTTCACAGCTTTTTCACAAGAAGTGAAGTGCCACTCCGTCTCCACTCCAGCATCGCAAGAAGTCATTGTGCGTACTATTTTAAAAACGCGGGACAAATGTGCGAAATTATTGCCTCGGATGTCCCATCCATTTCCATGGAATGGCCCTTGTGTAAGCCTATTTCGCATTTTTTATGAAGGGCTCCGACCATGGCGTAATGGCTGAACGGAAGAATAAACATGAAAAACGCCAAACACTACAATAATTTCCCCGAGGTCATAATATCACACTCTGCCTAGAATATTGCCTAGAATATTGCCTGGGATATTGCCTGGGATATTGCCTAGGATATTGCCTGGGATATTGCCTGGGATATTGCCTGGGGTATTGCCTGGGGTATTGCCTGGGAACTGACCTTTCCAAGCTGACCGCCGTGAGGTTAAATATGGACGCAGCACAACTGAGCATCTCGGCGTAAGTGGCCATCTTGCAGACAGTCCCGACCGCGTCCCACTCCACGACGAAGTACTGCAGCGTGTTGAGCGGGGCGTAGAGGATGAGGAGGAGGAGGTCGGCGGCCGTGAGGCTGATGAGGAACATGTTGGTGCTGGTGCGGGACTTCCGGTCGCCGAGCATGACGAGGACGACGAGGAAGTTCCCGAGCACGCCGACGACGAAGGTGATGGCGTGGGCGACGAGGATCTCCCAGAACCAGGGATTCTGTCGCCACGCGGCGAGCATGTCCTCGGGGTGGTCCATGTGCAGCACCTCGTCTCCGTCGTCCGTCGTCGCGTTCGGTGGGGGCACGGACTCCATCTGAGAGACCGGTGGCTGACCGCGGTTAGATCGCGGTTAGATCGCGGTTAGGTCGCGGTTAGGTCGCGGAGAGACGCGGTTCCCGCTCCGCACTATCCCCAAAGACCCGCAAGACGAGACGAGTTCGTTGCAGCCACCCGAGCCGGTGTAAGTCACCCGAGCCGGTGAGAGCCACCCGAGCCGACGAGAGCCTGAGAACCACGCACGCACACCCAACACCTTGGGCACACTGCGTCTCCCGCATGCCGAGGACGGAGAGAGACTCCATCCTCCCCGGCTCCACGCATGACGCGGGGCATCTTCTGCGCCCCGGCTGAGAAAAGCCAAGCGAGAGATCTCGTCCCGCGGGACTCACCCCCCCCCCCCCTCTTCGCCTCGCATTTCCCCCTTTCCTATGGGGCACCCCCCCCCCCCCCCCGCATCAATCGATTGATACCCCCGATTGACCGCACGGGTCGCCACCCGCAGCCCATCGAAATCCAGCCGTCAAATTCTTCTCGCGCACCCGCGGGGACACCCGAAACATCCGCGGCTCTCATCCGAAATGGCTCTCTTCGGCAACAACGCATTCGTCTCGAGGGGAAGACGGTCGAGATCGATGATCCTCTCTCGTCCATCGTGGGACGAATCCATCGGCGGTCGTGTCGTCTCCGGGGCGAGTGCATTAAGCATGGCCCAAGGGTCCTTGTGAGTGGTGTCGCTGAAATATTCAAGGGATGGGTCAATCGATCGACAGCCCATCTGCATCCGTCTCAAGTCAGGTGGCCATCTATAATGAGTCAGGTGGTCATCCACCACGAGCCTGGTAGCCATTCGCCACGAGTCAGGTAGCCATCTACCACTAGTCAGGTAGCCATCCACCACAAACCAGGTAGCCATCCACCACAAACCAGGTGGCCATCCACCTTGAATCACACGCTGCAACGCCGCTCGAATGTCGGGCGTCTCTCTCCCTCCCCCTCCGCGAGCCTTGACCCGGTTCGGTGGAAAAAGGAGCCCCTCTCCGTGCCGCCGCACTCCCTTTCCCCGTCTCGATCGTCATCGATCGCGTGCGACGCCCCGGCACGAATCGCGATCGTCGCGGCGAATCTCCCAGCGACTCGCGGGGATTTCTGGCCCGAGTCCCAGCGATATCTCAGACATGTAAATCCAATGGTATGTAAATTTTAATCCAGAAGAAAGCCATTTATCATGCGCGTGCATTACTCGCGGCAGCGATATCGAAATTGGCTCCTGTGCGGAGGAAGCATCCCTTCGAGATTCATCTGCGTCTCAGCATCCATGGGTCACGTGACCCTTCTCGGTGCATTGCATCTCGAGGAAAAGGATCATGAGTCGAACGTCAATCGATCGATCGATCTCTATTGAAAGGATCGCAAAGCCGAAACTGCCAACGTACGCAACAAAAAGGAGCTTATTAATTAATTAATTCATTCATTAATTCATTCATTAGGTACTGAATCACGATCTTGACCGAAAAGGCCGAAGGCTCAGGGCGAGAATTTCAGCGAAGCGAAACGCGAAGAAAACGGAACGTACCGCGTCGCGACGCACCGCGGCGACACCATTCGAATCGCCGCCGGACGCATCGAGGGAAACGGCGGGGCATTTCCGACCTTTGTGTATTAATATATTAATACATATGTTAATAATGCGTTGCAGGTTGTATTATTGTGTTGCGACTCGCGTGATTGCCGACATAATTGATGGCGGCGATTTTTTTCGCCGATATCGACGTCCGTGTATCGAACGATATCGTCGATCGGTCGGAATCGCGCGAGTCTCGCTCCGTGCTTGCGCGATCGGAAGTACTAGAAAGTACTGGAAGTACTAGAAAGCACTGGAAGTACTTTGAGCACGAATGGGTACTTGAGTGACTTAATGCCTTAGCGTCGCGAAAAGGAATCCCATGACGTTTCACAGAGATTTAGCTAATCATAATCAATATTTAAGTAAGCAATTAATCTACAGTTGATCCTAATCTACAACTCTATACTCGACACAAAATGATTTCATCAAAGTGAATTATGATGCGGGCCAAAGAAAGTTAATAATAACAATAAATAACATGAATTAATTGCAAAATCTCAGCATGAGTTGCACGGTTGCTCGGAGTTGCGACCCGGCGCAACCCGGCGCAACCCATTCGGGTTGCTATTGACAAACAGGATCAAACCCCGGTAATATTTTATAATGTTTGGGACTCGGTATGATAAGAATTAAATGAATTTGACTTCTCGGCGATGGCCTCACGCCTCGCGACCGACATGCAAATGAGGCAAGGGACGACTGGGGTCGTGCTCGATCTGGATCCGGAGTACTGCGTCGTGCCGATTGATGCGAGAACGGGCCGATTGATGCGAGAGCGTGCCGATTGATAAGTGGGATGATGGGGGCATGGTGACAGCCTGCTCGTGGCGCCCCTGCTAAGCCTTTGTGTCCCTGTTTCTGGGTTACAAATGCAACTGATGTCACCAGCGAGACGTCCAAACACCCCC